TAACAACCCTCTTCAACTCGGGTCTGGTTGGTGAGGGCTGATCACATATTGAGATTGGCCAGTGAGGCCAGTTCCGGCACACGCAGCAGAATGACATGCATACAGAGAGGGCTGGTGTAGAGACTCACAGGGATGGTAAAACCTGTATGGATTTTTTTTACAGTCCACCAGCCCACCAACGCGGCAAGATGTCTCCCGGTGCTCCCGGTGGCCAATCTGAATATGACGGGTCCATCGGCCCGCCACAATATCAAAATGGTGGTTAATGTTGATATTGTGGCAGGCCTCCACAAATAAGTCAATGTATGGGAAACACTGTGTTAAACATATATGCAAAATGCATTTGCATGCAAACAGGCTATAAGCTCAGTTGAGGCTTCAGTCCAGCTCAGGCTGGTGACAGCTGATCCACCCCGACAGTGTGGCGCAGAGCCCAACAACAGCCCAACAGCAGTTTAAGTAGAAACATGACCTCCTCTCTGGTGCCACCTTAAGGACAAACTTTTGTGTCCCACTGGCCCTCCTACAAAAATGATCCTATAGGTCGTCTGTATGAGCAGCTTATTTCAACCTCTAGTAACGTTTTATTGTTAGACAACTTCTAGTGGTTGCAGTAGCAACAAAGTTCGCTTTAGGAGGGAGGAGGTTGGGATGGACGGATGAAAAACTTTCACAGGAGAGTGCCGTTTATGTCCTGTGTGAAACTGATAATCGCTGCTGTTTCCTTTATCCACGCCTGTTTTGCAAACTTAACAATGTGTTTATTATTGTTACCATGACGGCATCTGTCGCTGGATTGTATTCAAGGGTAGGGATAAATGACCTACAGCATATGGTTGTTCAGGTTAGAGGACTTGTTGAATCCTCTCTGTAGCTTTTTACAGTATCTGTATTTGCTGTGTAGTAGAATAATGAATACTAAATGAGTGTAGACACAGTCTACTCAGGAGAGTAAAACTGTCTTTATCTTTGTCTTTCATTTGATTTATGGCTGTCTCTTCCTCATTCTTCGGCTTCTCTGTTCAGTTCAGTGCACCTAATGGTCACAGCAGTTTATATAAACAGGATTATCGCTGTAGTCAGTTAAAAATTAATCATTCATCTCTCTATCTCTCTCCCACTCTGAGTCCTTTCTCTGTTCATTTCACTCTCTGTCTCCTCCCACCTACAATCTGTCCTCTCCTACTTCAGTTTGGACTGTTTCTTATGATTGTTTGTTTCACTCTTGCTCACTCAGTTTGAGTTTTAATTATTTGTACTGGTGGGATTTTTTCACATCCCCTGTATTTGATTACAGAGAGACTTTGTACTTGGTTTCTGCCACAGATGAGACATTGGATTGCTCCTGAATTACTATGACTGACTATGATGGTTTCTGTGCAGAGTAGTAGATAGTAGTAATGGTGAGTATTTTTAGCATAGTCAGGACAGTAAGAAGAGATTTTTCATGTAATATCTCCCTTTAGGAGGTAAGACATCACTTTACTTGTATGTTTTTACTTTACAAAATACCCATGGCAATAATACTCTGGAAATTAGTTTCCCATTAATAATTTACAGTGTCTTAAGTTTTGATTTTCAAATGGGAAATTGACTGAAACAACATTTAGACCACAATGAAAACTAATGAAAGGCTTTTACAAGCTGGAAGCTATTTATGACAAGCAGATGTGACCCTCCTTTTCAATTCTAATGGAAACTGTGGAATATAATACCAGGATTAATTGAATTATTAACATATTTAAAAAGCAGAAATGTTTTCCTTTTCTCAGTAGCTGTGGTCTTTGGTCAGAGCACAACATCTGTTTTTGATGTTGGACAACAAAACTGGCTGATTTCCGGCATGAAACAAAGGCTGAGGTCCTATTTGTATAAACCAGCCTAATAATTACATCGGATACTTATGCTGAAAGTTTGAGAAATGAAAGAACAGAAACAACGATAATGGCTCGAGGCTATGTAAACATTGTGCCATCAGTCCATCAGGCAGGCCTGCCATGCAAATCTCCACTGAGCTTGATTTCAGTATGTAAATCTGAAGCTTGATTTCCCTGTGGCCCCTTCCTGTCTCATTTGACTGCGAGATGTGATACAGTAACAGTAACAGTTACACCTGTGTCCCCCAGCTCAGTTTGCACTGCTGAAGTGATGCATGCTGGGAGCACTGTAGCGCCTGCTGAAGCTGTGTGTCCTGTAAAACCCCTTTTGGAAGTGTCCTGCTCTTTAAAGTTTAAAGTTAATACTTTAAACTGGTGCAGCTCAAAGCTCTGAATGGTGTCCACATGATGAGTGTGACCTTTGCATTAATAATAACAAGGAAGGAAGTTGATGGTAGATTATCATATTAAGAGTCTGCTCAGTTACAGCCATTAGTTTTATTTTTAGGTTATTTTAGTGTGTGAGGTTTTTTTTTTTCATTTTGTCTCTTTTAATGAGAGACCTAAAATATCTGTTTTATCTTTCATCCAGCGCCTGAGACATGGGCACTGGTATTTAGAACTTGTATCATTGAAAGTTATAATATGTAACTTTCCCTATTAAAATGACTAGACTTATGTTATATATATATATATATATATATATATATATATATATACTTGTGTACTTCAGTTATCAATGTTTGCAGCAATTCTCAAACAAAGAGAAATATGTGATTTTAATCATGGTCTGTGTCATTTGGTCGCCTGTCACTGACATCATGTCCCCTGCCAGAAGCTCAGCTATGAGACGCCGAACAGTGTCGGTGAATTACAGATTTTTAAATGAAACTGCTTTATTCTTCTTTCTACCGGTTTTAATCCCCTGGTCCATTTGTTGAGGAGAGGAGAACACCTCTGCGGATAATTTTGCTGCCGGTAAAAACCTCCTGAAAGTCTGGGTTAGTTATCAGTTGTCAGAGAAACTATTGAAACAAAGGTTAGCAGAAGTCCCTGAAAACCTCTGAAACAGACGCTTGAGCGCTAAGAATTTGTTTTTGGCAGGTGTCCCACTTCACCTTTGCAGTAGACAGTTCTGCGATGCATCAGGCTTCTCAATGAGGAATTAAGTAACAGAAATGTGTAAAGAAAATAACATTTGGCTGAAAGGCTGCTGTTTTTGTAGTTCTGGTTAAGGAGGAACTTCCATCTCAACACATTACTCTGATCCTTGATATTTATCAGGTCAATAGGTAACAGTGTAAGGACGTGGAGGAATGCTGTTTTCTGTGAAGAGGGAGCAACTCATAAAAGCAGCAGGTACATACAAAGAACAGACTACTTTCATTTTAGGAGACAAACGGGTAATTGAAGACTGACTACATTGAGTTGCAAGGCTCAAACAGATGACACCTTCTATCTCTGTAGGTGTAATACTGTGAAAGGTGTAAGTCTTTTTTTTTTGGATCTGTATTTCTGATCATGAGGACGTGGTTGTTGCAGAGCTTTAGGACAGAGAGCAGATAGGGTTTAGAATTTAGGACACACAAGATGTTCTCTCCAACCAGACACTTGTTTCTGACTTTATCAGGTCGTAATCTGTCAACGTGAGTTTCAGATTAATAATCTGCGCGGGGGAGTTTGCCTTGGATAATCTGACCGGCCTCCAGTGATGTCATCATGGTGGGAGGATGGCGGACGATTAGGTTGGAAAGAGTTCAAGCTGAGAGGAATGAAGGCAGGGGACTGAGGGAGGCGTGTGAGGCGGTTGGAATCAGCAGCAGCTCAGCCCCAGCATCACAAACAGTGTCATTAAATGATTTATATGTTTAACAAACAAATGAATTCAATTGAAATCACTTTGGGAAACAAAAGCAAATAAACACCATTTACAGCAGACTTTTTTAAAAAAAATTTTATTAAAGGTCCATATTTTACACTTTTCCTGTGTTTTATTTGAAGTGTTGATCCATAAGAAGATACATTTGTAGTTTTAAGAACCAAATTAATATAGAAGCTAGACCTGCTTTATAATCAAAACAGACAAGGAAATCAACCTCTATACAATATGGGACCGTTAAGACTGTATTGAAAGGTATGCTTTGGAGTATTCATGTTTACATTGGGTCTTTCTTACCCAAACCCACTGTCTTTATCCTTGAAGCTGAACACACATGCTGAATGCTAACAATCTTTTTCTCACATTTGTATTCCTGCCCTCTGCAGCTGCCAGGAATAGTGATGCAAATAACATGGTGCAAACAATACGAACAAAATGGGGATCTGCTAATCAAAACATTTCTCCATAGCACAAGTTAGGGCTAAAAACTCCACAGGGAACCTTTAAATGATAATGCATGGCAATGTAATGAAGAACACAAAGCTTTGTTTCTCTGTTGTTGACAACTCTGTCTCCATCCCTCTTTCTTTTTTTCCTTCTCTCCTCTCCTTCCTTCACTGTCCAAACAAAACAACCACACAACCTGGTATCTGGTGTTGTTTTCCCTCTCTTTCTCTCTGAATCACACTCACACACACATGGAGTCTAAATTATTAAAACCAGTTAAGTTTCCTGTATGGTCTTATCCCCCTGAGAAACTCAAAACCATTGGTTGACAAAGCCGCAGCAGTGGTAGCAGCTATCCATCACACTGACCTCAATCGGTTCTTTGTGTTTATGTCCGAATGAACAAGTCCAAAGGTTCAACTATCGAAGCAGCAGCTTCATAATCTCTCTCACATCTACATGCAGTCAAGTTGTTCATCTTCATTTTGCAGCTAACCTCATTGTTAAGTGCTAATGGAGGTAGTGATGTGGACATGCGATACAGATTTCCCTATGAATAATAAAATAATCTTATCTCATCATTGCTGTTGCTTTTCAGCACCACAACTACATAAAACATTGTCGGCTGGACTGTGATATATGGTGATCTATTGCGCACTAGTGCTAGTTGTAGTAGTCACCACAGTGTGTGTTGACCAGCCCATTGTGGCCCTTAGTAAACAAAATCATGAGCTTTAATATTCAGTCAGACTAAAATTTAAACTGAAACCCTCTCTCCTCACTGACTTCCTGTCCAGATGACACGGTGTCGGCCAGCAGTAACATGGACATGGAGGACCGGGTTTCCCACCTGGAGCAGAGGCTACAGCTGCAGGAAGACGAGATCCAGCTGCTGAAGGCCGCTCTGGCCGACGCCCTACGGCGACTGGGCTTCTGTGAGGAGCAGAGCCTGGTGATGCAGCCAGGAGGCGTCCATGCTGCTGGGAGGAGACCTCTGGCCACCACAGCTTCAGCACCGCCTACCAAGGGTAAGTAAAGTCCCTGCTCGGGGTGGTAGTACTTTACCAAAGTACAGATACCTTTGGAGAGGGGCTTAACATTTCTGATTGGTTGAGTACTCAAGCATTTTATTTCAGCCACCATTTTTAAAAAATCTGTAGCTGCATATTCAGTTTTCATTTTGCTTCAACACATCAACATGGAGTTACAGGAGAAACCATACGGCAGATGGACCAACGACACAAATCCTGTCCGTCGCTTTATTTGGTGTCATCGTTTCTAGTCTTCTGCCACCTGCTGGACTCGAGTGTAACAGCTTGTTGTAGCCTCCAATTTTGCATAAGTGAGCTGGCTGGTTTGCCTAATCTTCCCGGGTCTTTAGACGTCGGTGGAAACGCAGGCAAGCAGCGTTCTGAAGGAACCTTTTAGTTCCTTGAGTTAAGTCTGTGGGATTACAACTTCAAGGTTTTTTTTGGGTTGAAATGTGGCTTAAGGCAGCAGGTGAAGAAAGAGCCAAAGTCCAGCCCCTCGTCCTTGTTAGTTAGTTTTCTCATCAGTCATGAGTCTTCGTCCCTGGAAGGGTGTCAAACCTTTATGTAGATTGTTAAATGCTAACAAAGTAATTGTTTTATCTTTGTCAGACTGGGGAACAAATCCCTGCATTGCTCCAGCTGCTTTCCTGTCACAACACTACACCTCATTTGTCATTTTATTCCTGCTCTCCACCAGTGAAAATGACCCATCACTACTGAAAAACCATTAAACTGAATGGAAGGAATGAAAATTGTGGGTGACCATGCATGTTGCAAAAACAGATGTCTGAGTGTCAGACTCATCAGACACTCCTAATGTCAAACACAGGAAATTTGTAGGACTTTCCCTTAATGACATGGATGAACATACTGTCAGATTACAGGGACAACACCACCTCACACACAGCCCAAAGGGGGTCTTTGAGTCAGGTTTGAAATTGGGCTATGTGTAAACTGTTTGGGAACGTGTCAACATCCTCTGTTGATTAATGAGGCTAATGATTTTTTTTACGTTTCAGTGCGTCAGCTCCTGCAGGCTCTTCCCTCCAGACCTCTCAGTAATGGCTACGTGCAACAGAAACGCCTCCTATCCTCCCCTTCATCTCCTAAGAAAGAAGTGCTGCAGTCCATTAAGAGGTTAACTTACCAAAGGAAAACTGTTTCTAACAAATTTCTGTGTATTCACATTGGCTCTTATTATCCCTGCATTTACACTTTACACGAATTGAGGAGATGTGATGGCTAAAGCCTCTCCTTTGCCCTCTTCTCTTTCCCTTCCTCTTCCTCTTCTCCTTTAGGAAGAGTATGTCCACAGAGCGTCTCACCCTGGTGAGGAGAGAGATGGGAGCAGAGAGTCGGAGTCGAACCACCTCCTCCAGCAGCTCCTCCGGTGGCAAAAGGTAACACATTTCTCCTGCTGGATGGTGCATCTCATATAAATTATACACTGTATTTCTGAATCCATTTTCAGTACTGTATAAATAAATAAAACACTCACCAATGATTCAGTACCAGAGAAAATATAATACTGTATCCAGTGTTGCCGTGAAAACCTCTCTAACAAGCTTCATGTTTGTGCACTGTGGGTCACCAGGGTTCTGGAGGAGCTCTCAGGGTCACTGCAGATTGTTGTAATGAGCTGTGTTACCTCTCTGTCTGTAGGCAGACAGATGACAGGTCAGTTTGATCAGTGGCAGGAAGAAGAACCTGCTCTGCTTAGTGTTTGGTTACTGATCCTGATTATGGCTGTCGCGCGTATCTTTAAGGTTTTGTGCTTAGGTGAAGATGTTTGTTTGGAGTAGGAGCGACTTTAAGGTGATTTTGAGATATTAGATTTTTGATATTTAGATAATCAGATTTTAGATATCAGAGTGCTGAACATGATGAGGGCGGATGTGTCTTGTCTCTCTCTAACTGCATGCTGGGATAGGTTCCAGCTGCCCTGATAAGCAGGTATAGAAAATGGAAAGATGGAGTATTAAACATACGTGGTACTGAAGCCTTGTATTAGTGGTTTATTTGAAATGGAACCAGCCCATAATGTTGAGATATTGATTTCTCACAGTTATTAAGGTTTTAGACCATCTAAAGGGTTGAAAGCTGCTCTGTTACTTTAACTGAAATAAATGCACAGTATTTGCATTTGCTGCATCTTGATGAGATTTAACAGTAGTAGTCCTTCTTCCTCAGTAAAAATATGTCTTACCTTATAAAAACGGTGATGGTATTGTTGGGTGGTGACCCACTGACCACCTCTGAAAGTGGTGCATAAAGGCAGATATCCAGTAACAGAGACTGTATCCAGTATGGTGCTAAATAAATAAAAAGGACAGGAAAAGACAAAAAGCTGCCTCTCCCCCCTAATCAGCATCTGTATCTGATTTTACTGAAGGTATTTTTGTGGGAGCTGCTGCTGCTGCTGCTGCTGCTGCTGCTGCTCCGAGAACTGATGGTTTAGAGTTTCTAAAGTTTGAAAGCACACTCAGGATGTTTGAAAGGTTTGAATTATTCAGGCTGTGTGACGGGACAGAGACGGATTCTGCACATCGTCATCATCATCATGTGTGTCTGCCACACTTCCACAGTCAGCACTTCCTGTTTGTCCTGCAGTAACTCTCAGATGTCACCATGTATTATGTTCAACAGTTAACAGGCTGTTGGTCTTTACAATGCCACAGCTGTGAGCCTGATGGACAGTGAAGTGTCCACGTGTCACAGCCGACACGTGGGTCACCTGCCATCAGTGAACAAACTCAAAGAGCAAGTTTATATTATCTGTGGTTATACAGTACACACTGTAAACACACTCACCTTCCTATTGTTCTTTTTCATTGCAATCCTGTCTTTCCTCTAAGTCTTTCATCTTCCAGACTATTATTCTTTTCTGTTTCTGGTGTTGTGTTCTTCTCTCTCACAGTACACACACCTTTTCCATTTCTTCTTTTCTCAATCTTTACTTTCCTTTCTTTTCTTTTCTTTTCTTTTCTTTTCCTTTCCTTTCCTTTCCTTTCCTTTCCTTTCCTTCCCTTTCCTTTCCTTTCCTTTCCTTCCCTTCCCTTCCCTTCCCTTCTTTCTCTTCCCTGTGTTTCTGCTGATGGTTCAGATTCCCAGCAGTTCTTGGTAAAGAGGGGGTGTGGTTACCAGGCAGAGGGGGTGGGTCTCCACAGTCAGGAAGTGCATTTTGATTGGACGGTGCAGCCTCCTCAGGCAGAGCTAAAAGTTTGCTGAGCGAAGGAGGAAGTTGGTGTGTTGCTGTGGCTGTTGAACAGGACAGGAGCCGCTCTGACTGCTCTCCACTGTTGACTGTTACTGTAACGGAAAGCCTGCAGACATGAAGAGATCCTCCAGGTAAATAGCTGCTTTAACAGATAATCAATAATTACAGAGCAAGACACTGAGCAGAGAGGTTTCATGGGTAAAGCTTTTATGCTCTTACTGATTCATAGCAAAAACAAAAGTAGCAAAGTGAAGTAAATGTTTTGTATTTTTTGAGGAAAGTTGTGTAGCTTCAGTCTTTGGATGACCAGATGGTAACAGCAGTTTTCAAAATGCATATGCTTCATTCAAAGTCAACTGGATGAATGTCAGAAAAAGTACTTTTTTTGTTTCACACCCAGCTAGACAGTCATTTGTTGTATAACTAATATTGAATAGATTATAGATTAGCTATAGATAGATTATGTACAGACAGATTGCACAGATAGATTGTGGTTTGGTTGGTAGAAAGCATTCAGGCGTCATCATCTAAAGTTTGTGGTTATTTTCAGTCTAAACAAAGCCAGTAGTGAGTCGCTGAAGTCTGTCTTCACGACCGCCTGAGGAAGTTGTGCTGTTTTATGAAACTCTGTTGTCACGCAAGCCGTTTGATGCAGTAGGTTTCCCTGTCTGCGGGGCTGTGTGGCTGTGGGGAGGGGCTGCAGCACAGTAACACGAACACAACACAGACAAGAGTCATTTGTGTTTGTGGACCGCAGATCAAATGGCAAGTATCAGGTCTGATGAAAAACTCTAAATACTAAATGATGAGAAGAATTAGTCATAGTTTAATTGCGTAATTTTGTGTGTAGTTCAAACGAGAAAGAAAAAGGCGAGTGATTTTAGAAAGGCCTTGTGTGATGAACTGCAGTTAGTCTGCTTAAAAAAAAATGACACCTGACTTTAATGGAAACAATAATGAAGTGTTTTATTATTTTATTATACAAGTCGTGTCTCATCATGTCACACACACATTGAATGAATTTATGCTTATGTGTCATCAATGGCTTTTGTCTTTGGGCTTCTAGTGATGGTGGGAGCAAACAACCATGTCAGGTCTCTCTTCAGTTATGAAACACACACATGGATGCGATGAGTGAATGTGGAGTGACAGACCACCGGTCACACTGTGCTCAGCAGCTCTGTCACTTACCTGATTGTTCTGTTAAACTGTTTCTGACAGTGAGGTTATTACACCTGTTCAGGTTTCACATCACCTGCTGTAGTTTTATTTTCTGATGCTGTTTTGGCTGCTGCACATTTGTTCAAAGAGATTCTAATGAATTCGTTAATCTCTTGAACGTGTGGAGCAGCTTATATCTGAGAGTCTACACAAAATGCTGCAGAGACGGTTTCTTTATGATCACCGTGCAGCGTTATCACCACAGAGCGGCTGCTGAGGCAGCTGTGGGACTGATGTTACGATTACCGCTTCTGCTCAGCATGTAGAAACACTGATAACATTGATTGGATCTCCTGCTTAACATGCAACCAACTTATTGACCATGTCTCTGGTTGCAGATAAGCATTTTACACCACTAAAACCAGCTTAATATCACTGAGACTAGATTTCATCTAATATTCAGTCCAGTTAAAGTTAAGGGTAATAGTCCTTTAAATCATAGAGCACTGTATGGAGTTGAACTCTATCTCACAGGGTTACATTTATGCAAATACAAGGAATAGGGAAAAGATTTCTATCATATTTGCTCCATCTGTGTCTCTCCTTTCTTCTCTCTGTTTGGGACAGTCTGTCTTGGTCCACAAAATTCTTAAACATATTCTGTTGAACTGAAAATTTAAAGCATCTTAAAGCAAGTATACTTAAAATTGTGGTCCCAGTGTAACCTTTGTAAAGTCAACAAGCTTTAACAACTTGAATAAATAACTTTCCCTCAGGCTGATTGAAACCATGCAAATTCTGACACGGGAAAAGATCAAACAATCTGCACCATGTTGAAAAGATTGAGATCTTTTCCTTTTTGTCAAATCAAATCAAATCATCATCTCTCTCTCTCCCTTTTCTCTCTCTCTCTCTCTCTCTTCTCTCTCCCTTTTCTCTCTCTCTCTCCCTTTTCTCCCTCTCTCTCTCTCTCTCTCTCTCTCTCTCTCCCTCTCTCTCGTATATTTTGTCTGTCTGTTGCCACAATAATGTCGACTGGATTAGTCTGATCTAACATCGGCTGAAGTTGAGTCTCTTTGTGTATTTCTTCTGAGTTGAGTGAAGATGCGCTTGTGTCCATTAACTGAGGCCACTGAAGTACTTCAGTCATAATGGACCAGGAAATTGACTGTTCCCACCACTCCCACAGTTCAGGGGGCTTTGACCCATCACTTAGACCACAGCATCCATCTCCTCTGCCTACATCACTGCGATGGCTGCAGTCGGTCCCAGCTGGATGAAGCACTTTCAAAGGACTCACCTCTTATGAAATACAATGACGAGGAATCTGTTTTAATCGAAACATTTAAGTCAAATGTATTCGTGCAGCCAGTGAAAGTTTGGACAAAATCGACAGCTGAAGGTTCAAAAAATGAATAATTGTGCACACTGACTTAAACAATAATTCCCGGATTGTAAATTTAATATGTTAAACTTTACAAACTAACTAGCATTACTAAAAAATATTCCAGTTTTCATAATATGAGCATAATATGACCCAAGCACAGGGCACTGCAATGAAGCAGACACAAAATATGATAAACAATCTGACACACGAGATCTATTAAAAGATTCATGACTTTATTTAATCTTTCTGCAGGTGCTCCGACAGTCAGTGTATTGAAACCAGTCAGGAGTGAGTGGTTAGAGAAGGACAGTGAGCGGCTGGATTATGAATTTGAACAGACACCTCTCAAACAGCGCTGCAGAACAGCTGCAGGAAGGCCTCCTGTTGACTTCTTTAGAGAAGCAGAGCCCATCAGTTGCTCTATCTGTCTTTTGGTTGAAGGCTGATCTGATCACCTGCAGAGCTATCTCTGTGCCCACAGGTCTGGCTCTAGCAAATATCTTGAGATTCAAGGAGGCTCCCTACAAAGAGTCACTGGATCTTACTGACACTTCCACAAAACTGAACTGATGCCGGATTTCACAGAGGAACCCTGACAGGTCCTTGCTGCTCATTAGTCCCCCCTGGTTCTTACAAGAGCCCCTTGTGTTCTCAGAGTGTACGCAGGCACAAAATGCCAACAATACACTCAGCACTCCATGTTAATGAGTGGGCTGTTTGTGCGTTCCCTCTCCCTGGAAGTCTGGTGACTAGGACTGCAGCCACATGGGTTTTAGATCCACAGTTATTTGCCCTGTCCGGCTGCCAGTTACCCAGCATGCCGTGCACTAATTACTGGCTCTGGATCAATCTGGTTCTCTCATTGGCTAGAACCAGGCCACGCCTCATCTTCCTGGCAGACCAAACGTATACACACACACACACACACACACACACACACACACACACACACACACAGTTGAAGAGACAAACGGGCCTTTATGTGGTTGTTTTAAAGAGACGACACCCTGCCTGGTTGCCTCCAGCTGCCCAGAGACACAGCAGACACCAGTCAGGTCCTAAGATCAGTCGCCTGTTTGCTCTGTGGTCCATCTTTTCATCTTCCTCAGATGCTTCATGTTATGTTATGAAACACAAACATGCTGTGATCTCTTTTCTTTTTTACCAGTGATGCGTTAAACTTATTGTGGCTAACCTGCCTGGTCCAGTTAACTCCCTGTTAAACAAATGTCAGGAGAAGTAGACACACATGGCTCATCCTGGTTTTCGAAGGCATCCTGTTGACTTTTCTCCCTCATTAATGTAAAGCTGATTTGTTTGAATATTTTAAAACATGTTTTGTTTACGTCCATGTTCACTTGCAGCGGTCTTCTTCCTCACTCATTCAATACCTATAAATGTCAGAGTTTACTGGCTGAAGTTTCATCTCTCCTCACTTTGTGTCATTGCGTAGGGGTCACTATTTCTTAAATGGAAGCATTTGCTTTTCTTATATCTTTCCTCTCTTCTATTCAGGTTTTCCCTTATCTGTCACTTGTCTGTATTTGACTGTTATTTCACTTTTTTAAGGTTTTGTGTTAGAGCACTGACAATAGAGGAATCGTCATGACCCTGACAGTTATATTTGTCTTGATACAAGGAAAAATGTTTTTGCCTTTTTTGCATCTTGTAGAATTTTTTCCTCTGTCAGTTTTTTCTCTGTGTTTTAGATTTGAGTAATGCACCTGAGACACATCAGGTCACAGCAGTTTTCCTCATAGAAAACAAACATACATGCAACATACATCTGTCTTGCTCTGCCTTTAGTTTTAGATGACGAGTGTGTATACCCTGCTGCTGATGTGTTGTTTTCTCTGCTCCCTTCCTCTGATTGTGCTTCTACAGAGACACACAGGAAAGTCAAACACATCTTTCCACACTCTTCCTGTTGCTGAGCAGGAAGAGACAAACCATCACTTTCCCTATGTCTTATCAAGCCTTACTTTTACTGCTGTTGCCATGGTGATATCCACCTGTCAGCTGAGGCAGCCTGATTATCTGATTGGTTGACAGCATCCTGACAGGTTGGGTTGAGTGGTCAGCGTGTGCTGAAATGCTCGGCGGGCAGTTCTGATTGGTGGACAGACAGCTGATTCAGGAACAGCTGCTGCTGTAGCTCAGCTGCTGCAAACTGATGAGGCAGCTGCAGGTTCTGAGTGACATGTCGAAGTATGCATGTTGGCAAAGTGGCTGAATGGCCGGTTGTCATTTTAAATTCAGAGTGCTTATAAATGCATTTAGCTTCTCTGTGTGACATCTGGTAACACTACTGTTCATTGTGTATGAATCATGTTGCCTCCAGGTATCCATCACATACTGTACAGTGCACACAGCAGCGCTGTGTAGACTGCTGAGGGAAAAGGGGGATATATATTCATGAGTACGCACTATGTTAGCAACATATCAATCATATATCAACAGAAATAAGAAACGCTTTAAAACTTAATTTTGATGTACTACATTACCTCCAAATTTACTAAAAATGCTGGAACAGCTGCACTTGTTTTCTTTCAATTCCACAAGTTTGGTTCATGCTGAACATTTCAGTTAATACTTAATATGCATATGAAAACAATATTTCTGAGAACCAGGGACCTTAATCCTGCCTGTAGAGTACGTCATCTCAAACAAGAGTTGCAGATGAGAGCTGGCTTCCGGGCCTATGATGCATGGTCTGTGTGTTCTTGCTGACTGAACTCTGAAGCCCTTCCACAGATGTTCCTGATGTTCAGTTGCAGTAAAGCTGAGCGGTGCGGGTTGCAGCATGTAGAACAGAGAATAAATAATTCAGAATCTTATAGGAAGACCTGATGTTATGGAACAAAGTCGCAGGAGCTTCACTGAATACTGATATATTCTGTGTGTATTGTTTGATGTTCTTACGTCATCTTTTTTTTTTCCCACTATGGATGACAGAGCCTGAAACGTCTTCTGCTGCAGATCAAACTTCACAGGACACATTTGATTAATTTTTCTTTTTTTTTTCTGTTTTCAGCAAATCCAAAGAATGCACCTTCAATGCAGGTAAGAAAGGTTTTCACCCCTCTGACGCTCTGTGATTTGTGTGTAATTTAAGACTCGAGTAGTTATTATGTCTCACCCTCTGATTACTGTCACACTGCAGCCTCTCGTGTGTGCTACTCGATTAACCCTCAGGAGTCCTTGATGCACTCGGGAAGGATTTTTGTTGACATTTTGAACCAGTAGATATTTCTCATTAGAAATGCTGAAGATCCCTCTTTAACAGAATCGTCTCATTTTTAATTGGAAAAATCTTCAGGAGAAGCACAAAAATCTGCAGCTAAATTTCTAAAGCATCCATATTGATTAAAGATTAGTGAAGGGTTGGCTTTGTAGACCCGAGTTGTGTCTGTTTATGGATTATCTGATGATTACAACAAACAAAGTTTTCCTCTGTGTCCTCTTTTTTTCTGCTTGGTTTCACGGGGGAATGCTAACAAGCTATGTTCCAGAAAACGAGCAAATGTCAGAGATTTAAGAGAAAGTTTACAAAGCTGTAGTCTGTAAAACTGGCAGGATTTCAGCACTGTTTATACCGTGGACATTATAAATCTGTGATGATCACAAGATTTTTTGGAGCACACATTGATCCTTTAGCTTCTCTCAACAACCTCAGTTAGTGATTCTTAAAATAAGGCCTCTCGGCTGCTGTTTGGATTTTCAGGAAAATGAAGCCACAGGATTAGATGAAAGAGGATGGAAGTCAAGTCTGTCTCACAAACTCTCTCAACTTTCAGTTAATGCAGTTCTGTCATTTTCTTAAGAGACACGTTTACTGTCGTCTCTTTGTTCTGTCTTTTCCACTTGTCCCTGAATCTTGAGTTTTGTTCCCCCAGAGGACGGCTACGTGAGGATGTTCCTCCGAGGTCGTCCTGTCACCATGCACATCCCCGACCAGCAGAGGGAGAGCTACAGCATCGACCACAAGGCGGCGCTCCCTGACCGCAAGCTCAAGCTGCAGTGGGTGTATCCTTCACACTGGGAGAGGGATCTGGACTGAGTGAATGAATTGAGGATAAATTGGAGTAATGAATGAGTTATCATCCATTTTAGCATAAAAGCAAAATCAATTGACAAATCAGTGGATGGCTAAATTTAAAAAAGTTAAAACCTGGAAAGCTGATTGAAAGTGGTTATTTGCAGTTAATTTTAATAGAATCTTTAATTTTCTTATTTCTCCACTTGAAGTGTTTCTGTAAAGTCTGTTTTCTGGGAGGTGCAGCTCTGAACCTTAAATAGCACTATTGGCTTTTTATATGTTGTTAATCTGGAATCTGCAGAAGGAGAATAAGCTTCAGTCCCTGCGAGTCATCTTCGTAAAGAAAAAGCATCAACTAAACTTCTAAATAAGAATATCATGTGTTCTTGTTTGGTGGTTCTGTCTTGTTCCTTAACTTAAGCGTGGCCCAGGTACGGCTACCGCGGTCGTGACTGCCGCTCCAACCTCTACCTGCTGCCCACAGGAGAGATCGTCTACTTCAACGCCTCCGTGGTGGTGCTGTACAACACGGAGGAGCAGCAGCAGAGACACTACCTGGGCCACAACGATGATGTCAAATGGTGAGAAGACAGCAGGCTGATAATGGCTGTCCTCCAAGTATTTGATTTTATATATATATATATATACATATGTGTGTGTGTGTGTGTGTGTGTGTGCGTGCGTGTGTGTGTGTGTAGATTTCTAAATATACAGTACCACAGCCTTGCTGAAAGATTTCCCCTCCACATCCTGTGTGTGTGCAGCCCATGTGTTTAAACAGAGAAGTGACTCTCATGATATTGAGATGTTGATATTGTTGAAGCATTCAAATGCTTCATGAAATTCTTCTCTATCCATCTACCACATGATTTCCTACACAACACTTCTTCTGTTATTCAGTCAAACCTGAAGCTCACATATTTCACAGCCGACAGGTTCATCAGAAGCTTCTTCACACTGACTGTGTTTATCATTAATGTCAGTTCTGGTTTACTTAATGACATCCTGAATGAGCTCTGTGACTGGAGCCACTGGGATGTAAACAAACTCAATCCCCCCGGGGCATGCTGGGAAAGCTCCTCATCTCTGCAGGGAAACAATTGTGGTCTCCTCTCCCACGCCGTCATACTGAGTCCTTCTCTTGTTCTGGCTGTGAAAAGGATCCAGTGTTGACTACTGTAGTGTTTTGATGTTGTGTTTTTAGTTTAGAAAGACAATGTCATAATAGGTTTTTGAAAACATATTTGAGGCTTCCCGTTTTATAATGTCAATTCCTTGAACTTCTTTGTCCATATAAGTCATATGCTAAAAAAGTGTCTGTCAAGGAAACAGCAGCAAATGATGTTACATCCTGAAACCGGCATGCAGTGTTTCTGCTTTCCTAGTGATGCCTTCACTTGCATTGTGTTTTAATCCGAAGCTCCTCTGGGCTTTTACACCTTTTACCATACAAGCCAGAAACGGGAGAAAGAGAAAATGAAAATGATGTTATAATTTATGTTTTCTCTTCATAGCCTGAGTGTGCACCCGGACATGGTTACCATAGCAACGGGGCAAGTGGCTGGAAACTCTAAAGATGGAAAGGTACAGTGAAAATAGAGATACAGTTTAAATTATATTTAAATGGATAGGAAATGTTAAAAAATGTTTTTTTAAATTTTAAATTTGATGTAAAATTCCTAATAGAACTCATCTTGTGCTTTAGCATTAGTAAGGAGTTTAATAATATGACATGGAGGAAATTTTTTCAAGACATTTTTGTTCCCATGAGTCAAATGAGTTCGTCTAACTCAATGTTTCTCTGTCTGGTTTGACCTCTGTCACTTTCCTGCTCAGCTGCTGGCTCCCCATGTTCGTGTTTGGGATTCTGTGAGTCTCAACACGCTGCATGTGCTCGGGATGGGAGTGTGTGACAGAGCAGTCACATGCGTAGCTTTCTCCAAGTCGGTAAGCAGCTTCACGTCCTGTGGCGTTTACTGAGGGTGTGACACTGTGCAAAGTTCAGTCAAGTACTGACGCTGTGATTTACAAATGAGTTCTAGTTTTAATAAACACATCTTAATGTAGATGTAACTACTTATTGTTGTCTTCAGAACGGCGGCACCTACCTCTGCGCCGTGGACGATGCCAACGATCACATCCTGTCGGTCTGGAACTGGCAGAAGGAGAAGCAACTGGCTGAAGTCAAGGTATCCTGAACCTTGACCTTTGACCACCCGAGCCTTATCCCATTTACACAGCTCTATTATTATTCATGCTACTTCCTGGTTTGAAAGTTTAATTGCCAAATAGTATGGATCACCAGAATGGACAAAAAGGTTGTAATATTACAAGTTCTCTTCAGAGTGAATCTGGTAGAGATTCATGCCGTGTCTTCACTCCTCCTGTCTGTGCAGTGCTCCAATGACTCTGTACTGGCTGCTGTGTTTCATCCCATGGACGCCAACGTGATCGTCACCTGTGGAAAATCTCACATCAACTTCTGGACCATGGAGGGCAACACTCTGACCAAGAGACAGGGCCTGTTCGAGGTATAGCCATGATAACAGCTGCTCTGCGCTCCACAAATATAACACACCCTCCCACCTCAAATGAATCTCATTAAACCTCACTGTGATGAAGATACATGTGTTATTTGATTAAGTACACTCAGCCAAAACAAACAGTCTAGTCTGCAACAGCCTCGCACTAAATCCCATCATCTCTCTCTCTCTCTCTCTCTCTCTCTCTCTCTCTCTCTCTCTCTCTCTGTAGAAACACGAGAAACCAAAGTATGTGTTGTGTGTGGCGTTTGCTGAGAATGGAGATGCCATTACAGGAGACTCCAGTGGAAACATCTACGTCTGGGCCAAAGGTAAAATCTAATCTAAACTGAGCCCAACCCTTTGTGCAAGATATTAAGAAATTAAATCTCTCAACACTAAAAGCTTGGCTGCTTACTGTGGTATGAAAATGTTAATGCAGAGGTGGCATTCATGTGAGAACATGATTGGATTTTTGAAAAGCAACCAGTAAAGATGCAGGAAACTAAAACCAATTTGTAAGTTATGGATCATTACTGAAAGGTAGCTGTAAAACATGTTGCCCTCTGTAGCTAAATCCAACTATAAGCGTTTATGTTTGCAGAGCAGGTCATTAATTCCATCATGATATTGACTCCAAGGTAGAAAATTGTTCTCTGGGTTCATCATCAAGTGATGCAAATGTACAGTTTAATTTGTTTCTCACATATTGAAAAGTGTGAAGGATCCAACAGAGGCGGGCATCTTCTGTTTGTCTCCTGATGGACAGGTGGTAACCGCATCAGCCAGGTGGTGTCCGGGGCCCACGAGGGCGGGATTTTCTCAATATGTGTCCTGAAGGACGGCACCATGGTGTCTGGAGGAGGGAAGGACCGCAAGGTGGTGCTGTGGGACCACGACTACAGGAAACAGGCTGAGATGGAGGTAAGAGCACTGAACTGTCCTGTGCATATAAAAGGCACGGTCAGAGAATAATCCTGCAGAGAGAGAGAAGTCTTCTCTTACTTACAGCCTGTGTGTGTGTCTGTGTGTGTGTGTCTCTCCCCAGGTGGGTGAGTCGTTCGGTCCAGTTCGGGCTCTGGCTGAAGGAAAACCAGGAGAGCTGTTTGTTGGAACCACCAAGAATGCCATCATCAGAGCTGCCTTCCCTGATACATTAACTCCTGTTGTACAGGTACACATACACACACACACACACACACACACACACACACACACACACACACACACACACACACACACACAATTTACCTGTTCTGGTATAATAAGAGTACACAAGGATATAATTTTTTTTGTCACTAAATATCTTCAGTATTTCCAGAAGGGAGATAAGTTGTTTCCACCGTATGTCTTCTTCTCTAACACACTCTTGTTGTCTGCTTCCACTCAGACGTCTAGTATTATGTTTTGGGAAATGCAAATAGATGCTAAATGTGTACACACAGCAGCCTCAGGATGTATTGAATAAGACGTGCAATGTGTTACAGGGTCACACAGATGAGCTTTGGGGGCTGGATGTTCATCCCTCCATGGAGCAGTTCGTCACCTGCTCCCAGGACAAACAGGTTCACCTCTGGGACACCAACTCCCATCAGCCCCTCTGGAGCAAGACTATTGATGTAAGGAGGAATAGGATGATAGGATTTAACATCAGGATGTTAAGCACTGACTTTACAGCACCTGAATACAAAAAATAATTGAATCAGAGAAGACACTTCTGTCTTTAATAATAAGAGTAATGAGTTAGATCAACTGGTTGATCCTCTGCTCTGCTCCCCTCGCTGCTCCAGGATCCAGGGAGGTCTGCAGGTTTCCATCCCAGCGGGGCTGTTCTGGCAGTGGGGACCATGACTGGAAGGTCGGCCTCTCAGCTGACATTTTGTTCCCACAGTTACATTTCAGAAACTAAACACTAACAATTCAACAGCAATTCACAACATCTGGAACAACTGTTACACAAGACGACAACTAATCCATTTCTTAGAACACTAATCCTGTGAAACACATTATTAAAAAATGAGTAAGGAGGTACTTCAATTCAAAAATTCAACTTATGAAAGAACACTACTTCAACTTACTGTATGTAGTTGTGGCAACTGCTCTAATAACAATTATTTAATAATAAAACATCAATCAGAACTAATTAACTAACAGAGGCATCAGTAGGTTGTTTTAATTGTTTTCTGTGTTTTGTTTAATTTAGTTTTCTTCTTTTTTATTGATAGTGATTTTAATTATTGTTTTATTTGTTGTTTTTGTGGGTGGACCTCAAGAAAACTAGCGACCACTGTGTGGAAGCTAGTGGGAATCCAAATAAAGAAATGAATGGATGCAGAAAGAAAGATAAATCGGTTAATTAATATATTTGTTGATCAACAGAAAAACTAAGAAACAGTAACTTGAGTAATTTATTAAGCAAAGATTACACATTCACAGTTTCCATCTCTTCAAATGGGATGGACGTGATGGATTGTGATGGACATTTTCACAGATTTCTTGTGTGTGTGTGTGTGTGTGTGTGTGTGTTGCAGGTGGTTGGTGCTGGACACTGACACCCGGGATCTTGTTTCTATGCACACAGATGGCAATGAAATCATCTCCAACGTCAAGTACTCTCCAGGTAAAACATCACCTGTTCACATCACTGAGCCAAATCCATAAAACACTTGATTATCTCTACTGCATCATCTCTGCCAGCAGCACCGTTAACGATGTTGACCTTGTGCCTTTTAGATGGTAACTTCCTGGCTGTCGCTTCCCATGACAATTTTGTTTACATCTATGCTGTGACGGAGAATGGCCGAAAGTACAGCCGTGTGGGGAAATGCACTGTAAGTGTACTTTCCTAAAATAACAACCTTCTTTCACAATTCATATCTCGGCTGTCTGGAAAAAAAAATATTTATTTAAAGCGGGACCAGCTATTTTTCTCTTTATGCACAACTCTATTACATAACTGGGGTTGAAAGATGAATAGTTTTTTTTTTGTTATTGTTTATTGTTAAACTTCACTTGAAGTAGGAAATAAAAGTTAGATGCAGAAAATCTGACCTCTTCTGCTCCCTCCTCCCCAGGGTCACTCCAGCTTCGTCACCCACCTGGACTGGTCGACAGACAGCCAGTACCTCGTCACCAACTCAGGAGACTACGAGATCCTCTTCTGTAAGCCCCCCCCCCCCCTTCCTCTGCCTCTTCACACTCACTTAGGGCTGAACGATATGCAAAAAAAAAAAAATATGTAAACTCACATCACTCATGTTACAAAGATAGAAAAAATGTGAAAGTGACATTTTGGCTGTGTGTGTTTTGTCTTTGTTTTTTTCTCAGGGGAGGCATCCAGTGGTAAACATGTGACCAACATGGACACGGTGCGCAACCTGGAGTGGGCCACTTACACCTGCACTCTGGCCTTCAGTACCTTCGGTAGGTTGATAAATCTCACTTTTATCCATCTGAAGCCTGTGAACCCACCTCAGGTCCAGAGTGAACAACAGGTGAATTATCAGATTCATGTAGTTTTATATTCTGTGTGTTTTAGGGTTAGTTGGCAGATGTTTGATAGTTTTTTAACTTCTAACACTTTGGTATTTTGTAATGTTTACCAAACTGAAAAGACTCTAGCGTTCTCTGGACTGAGTATCCACCCGTGGCTTTTGGAAGATAGTTTTGTCTACTGTTTAAATTTCTGACTTGTCATTTCTGTTGGTGAAGTGTCAATATTGACCGTTTGATCAAACCGCTGCACGACGATTTGAATTTTACTGCAGCCTGTTTGTCTTTCTCACACTTTCACTAACTCTCTCTCTCTCTCTCTCTCTCCGTCTGTCTCTCTCAGGAATTTGGCCAGATGGAGCAGACGGCACAGACATCAACGCCGTGTGCAGGTCACATGACGGATCCCTGCTGGCCTCTGCTGATGACTTTGGCAAAGTGCACTTGTTCTCCTTTCCCTGTTCTCAGCCAAGGGTCAGTCATGTTCACCCACAGTTACACTCTGTTAGCGTATCAGCATCAGTGCCTGTGTGTCTGCATGCACACATCACGTTTGTATTGTCATGTTTATGTCCTGAAGCTTTCCAGCAACTCATCTCTCCACTGCTTTTAGGGTTTGCTGCGTTGTGACCTTTTACTCCTCAGAGCTGAGCAGCCACACTGCTCTTCTCTGACCACACTGTGATTACGTATTTATGAACACTGTAAAACACACTGAAAGCTCAGCAGAAATAACATAACACTCAACCGCAAGGCTTTCGGTGTGGCATCACCACCAGACCTATAATGCCCCCAATTTCTACCAGGTGTTTATTTTGTGCTCACAAACGAGTGCTGTTGACTTTTTTTCTTTCTTTTTTGCAAGTTCTTCAAGTTTAAACGTTAGACTTTTAAACTGGAGTTGTAAACGTAATTGTCCATTCAGACAAGCTGGCTACCATTATCACAGAAACTGCAGAAAGCTACAGCAGCTGCAAATGGTTACAACATGTTGGTATTTTAAGCACTCAGAATTAACTCATCGTAAAAGTTTTACGCACATTTAGCGACTAAAACCAGAAGCAAGTAATAGTTTTACTTCATGAAAAACTGAGACTGATTCAAAAATTAACTGTGTACATATGTTTTCTTAAAATTCTGTCACTGTCAAAGGCTTCAATATCACTGCCCAGCCTGCAGGTCATGAGGAGGAGTCAAGGTCATAAGATGATTCATAGGTTAACCTGATGACGAGGTTACATGTAGATAAAACTCCTATTGACACAGTTACATGTTTTAAATTATTTGACCAAAAAACTAATTAGAGAAATACTAAACTTTTAAGATTTTATAAACGTGATCCCCGCGCGTCTGTGGCTCAGGACGTTGAGTGGATCGTCCACTATTCGTAAAGTCGGTTCAATTCGATTCCCGGCTCCTCCACTCTGCATTTCGAAGTGTCCTTGGGCCAGATACTGAGCCCCAAGTTGCCCTCAGTGTTTCACTGGTGCGTGAGTGTGTGTGGAAAAGATGCTGTATGAATGTGTGTGTGAACGGGTGAATGTGGCCTCCATTGTAAAGCGCTTCGAGTGGTCGATAAGACTAGAAAACCGCCATATTAGCGCGGTCCATTTACCGTTTACCATTTACCCATGCTAAGTGCAACACCTTAACAGCTGATCTGTTGTTTTTGTCTTCACTCAATACTTTGTTACTTTACTATGTGCTCCGCTCAAATTTATAGGCTCCGAGCCACGAGTGCAGTGGCCACAGCAGTCACGTGACCAACGTTGCCTTCCTGCACGACGACAGCCACCTGATCTCCACCGGCGGGAAAGATACCAGCGTCCTGCAGTGGGTGGTCGCCTAGGCAACACTATCAGCCCACATCTCTAATCCCCCACAGGCGGGGACCAGCATCCTCCCTGACCCCTGTCACCTCTTCACTGTTTAATCATCCTGCCAGCAGGGGGCAGCACCTCCTCCGTGCCCCCTGGAAATTACAAAACCACACTCACAACTTGACCGGGCCACACACCACACAAGATGAGATAATGAGTATCACTGTAATAAATGGAATATTATTTAGTGTCCAGCTGTTTGTAATAGAATGTAGAGAAAATGACTTGTTGCCATGCAGGAAGTGAATCCTAATTGTTCCCCCAAAAAAAATCAACTACTGTAACACCAACTGAGCTGGAAGCTGCTGCTGGTGACACACAGTAAACCTATGATTTTAGCATTACTACTAACTGTGCCTAAACTGTATTTATCTTAACCCCTTTTAACTGGAATTCCACCTATTTTATAGGACTGATGTGTTTGCAGGCTTGAGCTCCTTAATTGCAAATCATGTGCACTTTACAGTTTTGTTGACCTTTTTTGAATGCATGCTACATTGTTAGGGTTTACATTTATACTTTTGGGTTTAATAGGGTATTTTTCCTTCAGCTATTGGTTTCCATTCATTTTCATGAAGTATGAAAATCAATCTGCAAACTCTTGAAATGAGTCTGACTAGGAAATACAGTATTGATTCTCTGTGATTCATTACACAACTAAAATATTTTAAAATATATTTTCATATCACTGAATCCATGGAACCAATGGATTATTGCAATAAAAAATACACCTACATATATATAAGACAACAGCTTGGTGTGCAGAATAGTGAGCTGTAGTGTAAAGTATACTTGATTTGAAATAACCAGGTGAAAACATGGGCCCTTTAATGGCTGCGCTCCAGGAGAATGTAGTAGATAGTTGTCAACAAGCACTGCTCTTTCCAGAAGCAAACAGTGACTTCAAGTAAACCCTCAAAACCATGTGCAGACATGTTGTGAAACAGAATGTAGCCTTGTCAAGGTGTGATATTCCTGTGCATGAGCTTTAAGAAAGAGTGATGTCTGTTTGGAGGAAGTAACTGACCTGTCGTGGGGCAAAGGAAGATTGTATTAGAATTCCTAAAATAGGTGGTGTTCCCCTTTTAAAATACTTACTATTACCCCATTGCCTTCTTATACTACACTTTTCCATCCCTCAGCCTCATTTCCAAACTCTTAAGGTGCAGATTGTTATTATCACAGACTGTAAAATGGTACGAAGTGGCTGTTTTGTCTCCCCCCGACCCCCACCCGGGCTGCTGCGTTTCCCCCCATCCCCCACCCGGGCTGCCGTGTTTCTGATTGTACTACTACTGTAACTGTGCTGAGAAGGCACTAGATGGCGCTACAATACAAGAGAATGAGCATGACTGAGGCTGTCCTCCTGTAGATGCTGTTAATGTTGCAAAGGTCTCTAGAGTAAAAATATATATTATGCAGTATATCCGAGTGGCTGTGTTATTTTAATATTTAACTGTAACAATGATGGATGTTATTACTGTTCTTGTGGCACTTTTAGCGATTGACAGAAGGGTAATGTTGGCTACTGTGCTGTAGAAGTGAGCTTGAGCTGTGCTTTGCCTTCTGTTTTGTTAATAAAGTTTTTACCCAAGTACAACTGAGGGGAGGCTCTTTTTTTGTTCCTATAAATTAGCTAGAAAAAGGATAAGAGATACCCTCATCACAAGGGATGATCCTGGTAGAATCAAGGTAAAAATATTCATGAATATACATATACAATAGTCTTTATCTATTACATCTTTATCATGTGTTGCTGTATATAATAAATCATCTGCTCAATTCAACAGCATAACATTTGTTATTATTCCCATACAGAAATGTAATATATGACACATGCAGTGTGTCCCTATATCAAGAGTGATGTTGCCATATATGTCACCTATTAGGGAATATATATCATTCTCAGATATATACATACACGCACATGTACGCTAAGTTTATAACAGTTATATGTTTATAACATGAAATATCCATAGTAAAACCTCTATATGTACATATATTAATAATATCTATATGATGCATTTTATATGGTGTAAAATGTTGTCACTATATGTTAATGATATATAGCAAATTTATATATGAAAGTTTTTTTTTTTTGAAAACCTACATATAAAAAATCTTTATGTTTATACATGTTTTTCTTATTACCAGGGCGCACGCAACAATTTCTCATTCATTTTAAACATATTCTCACATTCTAGGAAAGTGGTCCCAAACGTTTGGACTCTAGTGTATATTAGATCAACATATATTGACAAGCTTTGGGCTATATACTGTATATCTTTTTGTAAAGTCTACAATATAAGCATGCATACATAAACATACATAATTGTACATGAAATTGTTCCCATTTCTAATAGGTTTCATATATATAATTTTCACATAAATATTTTTATTTTATATGCACATATATTTCACATTTCACTATATGTGTATATATTACATTTGTGTATGGGTTAATACAAAATATTTTGTGGTAAATTAAGAGTAAAGAGAGGAACCAGGGAGGCTGTTATGGTGACAGTTGTATTGTACATGTGAGTGAGTCTGTTTGTGTCCAAAGGTTCAAGTACCCAGATCACACAGTGTTAACTGGAGTGAGTTGATAGTAAACGAGAACTCTCTCTCACCTCTCTAAACAACATCATACACCTGACCTGGAGTTTTGCTGAGTGACCTGCAACAGGAGCCTGCTGTTCCGTGAAGACACCTCCTCCCTGTTTCCATAAATAAGAGGCTCTACCTGGATCAGACTGACAATATGTTGTGTATTTACTGCATACTATTGTGAGATGGGGAAAAAAAAAACTTTCACCTACAGTCAAAAGTCAAAAAGGAATAAATCTAGGGAAAGCCAGCAGTTTCAAACTAACTGTTGAAAAGCAGCTGAAATATGATTTTATTCAGAAGTGGTGTAGTGAGCTGCAGAGAGTGTGTGTTGAATTTAAACATGACTTTAAATTAGCACTAGTGTTACGGACGTTTCAGGGTTAGAAACATCAAACCATAGAAGATGTAACAGCTTGGATAAGAATCAGATACTGCTACTTTTGAAATTGCAACCATCTAGGATCAGAGTATCACATTTTCTTTTAATGTAAGAATACAAGTATCAACTTTAATCTCAACCTCCCATCTACATCTCTACATCAATGCCTCATCGACTTTCATTACAGTTGTATCAGTTACATATAAATTAGACGTCCTCTTGAAGGATGTTTATACTGATCAGGGTCTAATGTCAATAAAAATGTTTATGAATATAAATTTGTAATTTTCTTATCTTGTTTTTTTTTTAACATAACATGATAACAACATGCAAACAGAAGCATATATGTATTCAGTACATAAATTATTAATGGCTTTATTATATAATGTAGACAGGTGGTGCATTGAGCTCAGTGTTCCTGCACTTTTGTTGATTTATGTACATGAGATTCTTCAATACATAATTCAAATATTTTTTTATTTGTCTTTATGTTGTTTCTCTGTGGGCCTTTTCTCCACTCCGCCATCCTTCTATTCACATGATCCAGCAGTGGATCATGTGAATAGAAACCATGAGGAGTTCTCACACACACACACACACACACACACACACACACACTCACACACTGTACTCTCTGACCTTCTACAGAAGTCACCGAGATCTCTTTGTACAGCAGCCCATAGACCAGAATGCATTGCAACATGTTGCATTTTAAGCTGTTTTCTCTTCATTGCGCTCTCCATCCACACACATTAAAATTTAACAAATGTCGGCAGGTCCTCTGGGGATGGCTGAAAGGCATTCTGGAAAATATCAGTAATCAAGGATTCAAACAGAGGAAGATTATGGTCAATTACAAATTCATCCCAAACAGTGAGTGCATTATACACAGACCTACTGTGTAGCTGATGTGATGATATGTCGGAGTAGGAGAAGATGGGGGGGAGTCAAATGCAAGAGGGAGGATTCCAGTGTTTATCCAGTGTCAGGTCACGCTGGTGTTGTGGTCATGATGGCCTGATGTTGTCTGTCAATACCTCTTAGTGTGAAGATGAGGAGCTGGAAGAGGAGGGAGCCACTATAGATCCTCCCAACACCAACGTCACAGACGCTCAGGAGGTTCTGTAGATGGACTGATACTTTAAGACACTGCAGCACAACCTCAACAGGATGTAAAACAGCTTCAGGCACTCAGTTCTCGTGTCACGTTCAAGTGCATTTCATATTGATCCGCATTGGTGTGTACAGACTAATCACAAAGCAAACGTTAGCAAGTCCACACAGAGTCAATGGAGAGACACAAGAGGACAAAAATGAAGAGAATTTGCCTTCGTCGAGGTGAAAACTTCCACATGAGCTGAAAATGTTTCAGCTTGTGTAAAAAAACATCTTTAATGGAAATTTATTGTGGGCAAATAATTTTACACGTCATGTAGGAGCCATGTATGATTTCAGAGAGGAATGAATTTTGTAGGTTTGTGATGGTTTATATTTTGGTGTTGTTATTCATTAATCCTTGTGATATATCAGTTATTAATGTCATTTATTATTGTACGATTGACAGCTGGATCACATGGACATTGGTGGCGACATTTGTAGTTGATACAAGCACCTGTCCACCTGTGTGTGTATTTTGCACTGGCAGTGAATTTTTTTTTTGGAAGTGTGAGACAAAGCAAAGACCCGACCCCGACCTTTCAGTGACTTTTAGCCTGTTTCATGAAGTCACTACATAGCATATTGATGAATTATTTTTTTAATTATTCATTCATTCATGGGGCATATTCTGTATAATTTCTCATAAAAAATATTTACATCACATTGTCTTATTATTGTCCAGTATAGACTTCTGTAGCTTCATAGCTTTTCCATTCCAAATAAACAAGAATTTGTCTCGGGCACTTCTGGGAGTTTTACAGGACGCAGGGACAACATGGACATCACAAGGACAAAAGGACTTCCCATACAGTACAAAGGAAGAGCGTGAGACATATGATACCCTAAACTTTAACACAATAAACATCGACCTTTAGGACAAGGGTGACGCAGAGGACATGGAGGAGGAGGAGGAGGAGGCAGTGCGAAGGCCTCCTACAGGACACTAACACTTCTCAGAGGTGGAAGATAACCATGTTACCAGTGTGTTGGCATTTAGAAGGTAACTGTACTGAGTCTTAAATCTCTCCTGAAGGGCAGGGTCACGCACAGCGCAGGGAGTAACCGGAAATAACGGAGCCAGGAGCAGACACTCTTCAAAGTGTTAAAAACCTGTGTTAATGATTTTTTATTGATATCATCAGTCACTTTGTCCTCCTTGTTGTTTTTTTTTTATTCGTACTACTCTGTGCAGCAGGTGTAATGAGCTTTATCTTTTCTTATCTTGGCAGGAGATTTCACAGCAACATCAGCTGATCACAGTTAAAGCCACATTTATCCTCCCATGTTTCCTTTAGCTTCATTCACAAGGTACATGACTGATGTTTAAATGATGTCATTTAATTATGGGTAAATCAGAAAGAGAGGTGACCTCAAGTTTAGGTGCAGAGTACATTTACTCATCGGGAGGATACTTGCATTTTATATATAGTATTTTGATTTTGATCAATTTTATACCAGCTGTTCAAAGACAAATATTGTGCTTTTTACTCAACTATATCTATCTGACAGGTTCTCTATCATTATAGAGTTACTACTAGCTACAATCACAACACTGTGATTTCTTGCAGATTTGCAGGCAGTTGGAGATATTAGGTGCATTTCCATTGACCTGCTTAATGCGCATTTTGAAACTGCAAACTTAAAAAAGAGTAATGGAAACAAGTGAATTTAGGAAAAACTGTAAAATGTTCCAAAAAAAAAAATGCTTTCAGACTATTGGACAAAGCAATATTTTGCAAAATTGAAATGAAAACACACTTTTCGCATTCAAGTGGTGGCGCCTGCCGTATCATGCCCCAGGGAGGTCACGTTTAATTGGAATGATATTGTGAGAGAAGGTGATGCTTGAACACTTTGAATGATCGCCCTGTGATGTAGGAGCCAAACCAGAGCGGACACCCAGCTGGGACAGGCTGGACAGCAGAATTTGGTGCAGTGTTAAAAGCTTGACAGAGGAGGGGTGAACTTTATTCACAGGAGGTTTCGTATGTACACAGATTGACCTCTCGGCACTGAGTGCGGCCCACCTCTGTTGTCATTGGTCAGCATAATAAGGATAATGCACCAATCTGTTCTTATGAAGCCTATTTGTAAAATTCATCTGGAGTGTTAAAAGCTGCCATCAGCTCCAATAAGATGAGAACTGATGGCTGGATGTCAATTTTAAGCGGCAGTGTTTTCCAGGATTCAGTGAGTGTCAGTGTGTTAATATACGACTGTCTGGCAAAGCAGGGATGAACTTAGATTTATTGACAGCGAACTGGCAGTTCTCCAAACCAGCAGAGGCAGTTTGTGTTGCTGAAGATCAGGTTGGTTTGGTTATTTTCCCAACAGGGAATTTTACAGTTCAGCCTCATCTCGTCCAATCACACCAACAACCTTTGGTTTTTTAGAGCAGTGGTTCTCTAATGTTTTCAAATCAAGGATCCAAAAGTGACACAAATTAG